GGCTTCCGGCACAAGGGCGGGGGCTCCGCCCCTTAAATTCAATCCACCCCCAACCCCTACTGGCACTTTTTGTATATACAATAATGTCTCGTTGTCACAGGGATAGGGGCAAGTATGCGAATCACTCGCTGAAAATCAGAGATGCGACTTTCAAAAACAGAAACGATTTTCTTTTAAAGGAGCGGTGTATAAGGGACTTTTGAGCTGCGCAATCTTGAGCAAGCAAGATTTGAAGCATAGAATAAAAAAAAAATCACAATGCAGAGGCCCTACAAAGTTCTCCAGTTCTTAGAGTAACTGCTGGGCCTCCGGACTCCTCCCACTCCGCCCCACTCCGGATGAAAAGAGTGGAGGGAGGGAGGGTGTGTGTCTGTGTGTGTGGCGTTGGGCTTGGCGCTCCTAGGAAACTTGGTCTGGCGTGAGTTATAAATAATTAGGCACAGCAATCCCAGGAGCCTATCCGGATCATCCTTATTTCAACTTCGACAGGAAGCTGCATCTCTATTCATCTTAACATGGTCAGGATACATAATTTACAAGGTTGAGATACAAGGTTTAGTAGCTTCCTATTGGATCTTAACATCAACTGATACAATTCTCAAAATTGTTATTTTTTTACAGGATTTTTTAAATCACAAATACTATAATCTGAAAAATGTTCTAAAGCTATCTGAAATGAGGAGACACATCCAAAAGCATATTGCCCTTTTTGTGTGTCCTAACAAAAATAGACTACACTGTATTCTATTGATTTGTCACCTCCCTTGCCATGTAACTAAGTTATGGGTGTCTTTCCAGGATATTAAATACCCTTCTATTTCATAATTGCTGAAGAATAAACCATTTCACTGCACAAATGTGTAACCGTTAACATTTACCGGACAATGTGCTGGATACTGTTCAAGGTGATTTATATTTATTAATCTATTTAATCCTAATAACTGAATGTCGTGGGTCCTATTATTACCCCTATTATACAGATGACAAATCTGAAGCCCAGGGAGTTCAAGGGTGAAGTTTTTATTGAACTCATCCCCTACCCCTATTTGTGACCAGCACTGGGGTCTATTTTGCCATAAAGGATGCTGTGATCAATGCCTTTTCCATTCACCTTGACCCTCTCTGGACAGAGCCCTGCCCCTTCATCCCACTACTCACCTTCTTTAGAAAATATGTTAAAATTTCAAAAATTATTTTAAATGTTTTTATTGATTTTAGAGAGAGAAGAAGGGAGACGGGGGAGAGAGAGAGAAAGAAGAGAGAGAGAGAGAGAGAGAGAGAGAGAGAGAGAGAGAGAGAGACTGATGTGAGAGAGAAACATCGATAGGTTGCCTTCCATAAGCACAATGACCAGGGATCAAACCTGAAACCTGGGTATGTGCTCTGACCGGTAATCAAATTGGCGACCTTTTGGAGCATAGGATGATGCTCAACCAACTGAGCCACGCAGGTCAGGGCTCAAAAATTATTTTTAAAACCTCATTTTTATAAGGCTATAAGATACTAGATAAAACAACCTAATTACAGGGTTTTAGCTAGTTGTAAATTAACTAATGCATAAAAAGCATTCATAATACTTGCTGCATGAACATTTGCTATTGTTCTGAGAGGTAGTACAGTACTTTTCACAAGGCAGTATAACTTGGCCACTGGCACAGGCTCTGCCAACTAGGAGCTATGTGAATTTGGGCAAGTCACTTAACCCTTTTGTGAGTCAGTCTCCTCATCTGAAAACACTGCCTCATAGGGTTATTGGTAGGACTAAATAAGTTAATACATGTAAAGCTTAGAGTAGCATCTGGAACAGAGAAAATACCCACTAAATGTTGACTACTGTTAGTTGTTTTAAAAACTTTTCCCAATAAGAGATCCGTCTGCCAGAGGTAGATCTGGTGCAGAAATAATATGAATTAGAATGACCACAGCTGCCTCTTGCATCTGTTATGTGCTCTACATTTTTTCAATTTTTGTTCTTAAGCATTTACACACTCCCATTGGATTAAAAATAGGTTTTGAACAACAAGCTGATGATAGAAGTCACTTTCAGTTTTTTGGGAGCTTGGAGAGAAAGGGACAGAGTTTATCAGCATGAATGGCAGGTCAGTGGGTGAGGAAAGGAGGTTCTCAGGCCTGGAGTTATCAAGCCATGAAAATCAATTCCTGGAGGTTGTGAGTGACCTTGGTTATAATCATGACCTCTAGAAAATAAGCTTAAGCCCATAGAGGACCACAAGTCCTATTCACTCTAATAGGATCAGACTGTTTCACTGTCAGAGTGACAGTTGAGGGTTGTAGCCAAATGAAAAAACTAAAACAGATTTGGACAGAAAAGACAGGTAAGCCAGACCTGTTTGAAGATCACGCCACATCACAATAGTGGCTCAAATGGTGGCAGAAAGAGGCAGGGCCCATGTCTGTTCTGTACTTCTTCCTACATGTACCTCCTGCTTATTTGGCCCCCTGAATTTAGAAATGCAAAGGCGATCAGTGGACCACACTGGTTGTGTCCACTTTTCATTACTAACAGAGGCTAAAATGAAACCTCAAGTTGGGCTCAATCCTTAGAAACAAATAGGAGCATGATTTGAGGGAGAGCCTGGGTAGTTTGGGGGTGACAAGAATCAAAGCCAGAGAGAGAAATGGCGGAAGACATGGAGCTGAGGTATAATTGGAGTGCAGACTCTGAGTCCATATTCACTTAGCTCATCCCTGAAGTTTCTTCCTAAATGGGACAAGTGGGGTTTGGGACATAAGGTCATAACTTAAAAATTTACCATTTCCTGATGGGGAAACATTTGCCTTTGAAGCCAAAGTTCTTACAATTCCCAAAGTCTGAATGGTGATAACTCTCCATGGCATGAGTCAGAAACAAGATTCCCGCAGTTAGGAAAAGCCTCACAGACCACTTGAACATCCCCAGCAAGCTGAAACAGGGAGCTAGCCTTCCAATACATATCAATCAAGCCCCTACTAGGTGCCAGGCACTGGGGAAACAACAGTAACTTATGGCCTCCACTTTCATGGAGCTGCCATTTTATCTGGAAAGATAAACAATAAAGAAGATCATTTAGAAATTGGTACTATCATTAAAATAATTCTCTTAGTGTTGCTGAGCTGTGGGGGAATGGGGAGGGATGAGAAATAAATTTAAGCTGGAACCTGAATAAAAAGAAGCCAGAGACACAAAGCTCCGGATGCTGAATGTGTGGATAAGGCCAGTGATGCTCATCAGTGACTAATTCCAAGAGGGGGAGAAATCACTTTGCAGGGCTAGAACTGGGGCCACTCTGGTCTTAAGATCGCAATTCCTTTTACTTAGTGAGGGATCCAGGGCCAGACTGTGGGCCTGGGAAAGACTGGAGCCTGGGTTTGGTACCTCAGCCCCAGGCAATACAGCTAAACTGGCACAGCCCTTGGTTCTCTCTCTCTCTCCCTCTTGCTAATACACTGAACTACATTTCATTGCTTTTTTTCTTTTAAAATATATTTTTATTGATTTCAGAGAGAGAGGAAGGGAGAGTGAGAGAGAGATAGAAACATCAATGAGAGAGTCATTGATTGGTTGCCTCCTGCATGCCCCCTGCTGGGGATCGAGACCGAAACCCGGGCATGTGCCCTGACTGGGAATCCAACCGCTATCTCTTGGATCCTAGGTCAATGCTCAGTCGCTGAGTTGTCTCTCTTTCAACCTCCTGCACTGGTAGATCCACCCTGAAATTCACAATGGCCCCTAGCTGCTATGAGGAGAAACTGATCTCTTAGGTCTCCTCTCCAAATTCATCCCTTGTTGCTCTTCCTCAATCAGGGTATGATCCACCCACACTGACTTAATTGCACAGCCTTTGAAAACTGCACAAACTGTTCCTGGGATCTGGAATGCTCTCTTCTGTATACTCATGCAGCAAACATGTGAACTCATCCCACAGTAATATTACTAATACAAAGCATGCCATGCCAGGTACTGTTCTAATCGCTTTACAGACATAGAAAACCTTCTTTAATCCTCACAACCCTATGAAGTTGGTACAATTATTATCCCATATCACAGATTGGGAAATGGAGGCAAAGAGTTAACTGCCCAAGACCACACAGTAAGCAACGTAGTAGAACTTGCACCCAGGTCGCCTGGCTCCAGAATCCTTGTTCTTAATCACTACACTATGTAACACCAAATGCTGAATTACTCTGTGTGAGTTCCTCCAGTGCAGATTCATAACAAGTACTTTCTCTCCCTCATCCTCCTCACTTGATCTGTCAGCAAATCCTGTCAGTTCCACCTTCAGAATTTATCAAGAAAAAAAAAAAAAAAGAATTTATCAAGAATCCGATCTTTAGCCCTGGCCAGGTAGCTCAGTTGGTTAGAGCGTCATCCTGATACATCAAGGTTGCGGGTTTTGATCCCCAGTAAGAGGACGTACGAGAATCAACCAATGAATGCATAAACAAGTGGAACAACAAATTGATGTTTCTCTTTCTCTCCCTCTCAAATTTAGAAATTAAAAAAAGAGAAAAAAATGCTCTATACTCTGTAGTAATGTGATTTGAGCTTTAGAGAAAAAAAATAATCTGACCTCTCCTCTCTATGTCCACTGCCTCTATCGCCTGGACTAT